CACTATAACCCATGACAGTCGGGGCTACGAAAACCGGAACGGACCTGGATTTTTATCCGGCCAAGGACTGTCAACTCGGCAGAATTTCTGCCGATACAACAACAACAACAGGTCCTCAACCTGTAACTGACCACTCTTCAAATAACCGATGTGTGGAAAATCGGAAGAGTGATCTCACTACTGAAACCTGGAAAACCCGCCAACAAAGGWGAATCCTTTCGTCCGAAAACCCTGCTTTGCCAAGTAGTGAATACACTTGAGACCTTGCTACTCTCGACCACCTAAGCCGAGCAAACCGCTAACATAGCTTCCGCTACCAATAGACATCATAAACGCCCAGATGGTTCGTGGCCACAATTCTGGATACTGTAACTGGTTAAACTTCCACTTATCCAGAATAGTCCCCGACATATCTAATATATGTCCAGCGTACAATGAGTCCCCGCATTACTSTGGCCACCTCTTTGCAAGCTCTGCTAACCCTACTCATCTGACACCTTTCTCCTTTTGGTCCGACCATGTCGAAACTTTTCTTGGACCTACCGTTGGATGACATCAACGACAACTTGTTGTTGTTGTTGGCGCAGAATTTCTGCCGTTAACAACAACCACATCAACGACAACTTATCTAATCCTTATCATTCTAACGGGGATTAGGTACCCGTTAAAACAACAACAAAAGAAGTCCTCAGATACCGAATCTAATATCAAGGATTTCGAATTTCCGCTTGACTTTATACCACATTGCGAGTGTATAAAATGTTCGGTTACACCCGAACATAGCTGCTCCCTACCTGTTTTATAATAATACAAAAGTTATAAAAGTTTTTTTTTCTGTTTTTCTCCAGCATTCAACAGGTCGCTCTGACAGCCGATTTGGAATTGGAAGTGGTGCATAAATGCAATTTACATTGCATCGCCATCGCTCTGATGTCCCTAATCTCACGCGTTACTGGCGTAAATAACTTGCTTGAATATGCGCAGAAAATAATCGAYGCACGCAAAGAGGAGGCACCATATTTCCTGCCCCCCTTATTGGATCCGAAAAAGACGGGTACTACGAAAATTAATCTTGGCTTACCCCACCTCACCATCGATAAAATCGCRCTGGCCGAAAGTCTACAAAACGCCGGCATGGACTCGAATCGCTTACAGACCGGAACGCCGTATGTGCTGAATCAAACCGACAATCCAGCCCACCGTCACTCCTGGGTAGACACTGTAAGCAATCCACAGCTGCCGCAGCGTAATAGCTCTGCAGATTTGACGGCATACAATGCGGACGGCGATAGCGTGACAAGTTCACCGGGTGTCTCTAAGGTTTTACATAAAAAAAAAGAATGCAAAAATGCAAAGGCGACAGCATTTGTTATTTACTTTTGTTTAAATTACATTTTCAGAAAATCCTTGCACCCGAATACAATTTCGAGGCCATGAAACGTGCTTTGGCTGAACCCTCCGAGGCGATGAAGCGCGAACAGCGCGATAAGCAATTGCAGATAGTACGCACATTCCGGGAAGGCAACTTTGAGGACTTGGTACGGCGCACAGAGCCAAAGGTAASTGTTTTCCAGGTAATATATTTTACTTCAATAAATAAATCGAMATTTATGTTTTCTTAGCATGATCTTATACAAAATCGCCTGAACGATCTGTTTAACTCGCTGGCTGTTGAGCGTCAGATAACCCAAAGCGACATTAAAACGCAGCAGCTKCAAGCAGAAAAGCCGATTTACGAGACGAATTTCCCTGAATTGTTCTATTATTAATTTACTTCAAGTATGTATGCATATATGGGTGTGTTCGAGCTACGTAATAATTACAACAGTACAGCAACTGAATTACATATTTGCATGCTGCGTTCAAAAAATGACAGTAGAACGTGTTGCTGGAGCAGGTGTTGCCAGAAG